AACTTAGCATGCTAACCTAAAAAATATTAGTGTTGCACGGTCTATGCTAAACAGGGAAAGAAATTTAAACCAGTATTATCTGAATACGTGTGTCCTGACTGAGATGTACCCTTGACTTGGTAGAACCTTGGGGTAATGTGCAGCATCAAGCATTAGCAAGGGGTCCTCAAGGAAATTTCTGATGGATCTATGCTGATTAGTTCCAACTACAGAACCACACAACCGGCAACATTCTGCTTCTTAGAGGACACAAAACCAAACAAGCAACAAAACATGACACAAAAAAAAAAAACAAACAAGCCACCACCACAGGAAATAAAAAAAAAAAAACTAAGAAAAAGAAAGAAAAAAGAAAACCACAGTGAATCAAGAAGTCACTCTTCACAGGAAAACACACCCAACCCAAACCACTAGGAAAAGTACAAAATTGTACAAGACATATAAACTCTAAGTCTCACTTCCTGTTTATGATCACTGCCATCATTTTTTCAGGCAAATATTTCTCCCTCCTCTTCTCCAGAAGGAAAGATGGCAATTGTAGGGTCCACAAGAAGGATCTCCACAGTCAGAGATAACCAACTTGAGCTGGAACCAATCATGAAGAAGGACAACAGCATGATTCATCACTATCAGGGTCAACTTCTCTGCAACATACTTGCTCTCAGACATGCTGGCCAGAAACTGACTGCAATTACACAACTATGCACCCAGGGAATACTGTGAAAAATCCATTGCGTTCCTCCAGCATTAGTGCAATGCAGGACTGCTTTCCCACCTCCTTTCCTAAGGAAGATACTATGTACTTTGAGAAGCCTTTCTAATCCATTTATCTCATTCTGGATATCTGAGGCTGGAATCTGCCAGCCTCTACAGCAAGAATATCCATCATTTATAGCAGTTATGCCCCTGTTGTCACGTTTAGCCCAGGCACAGACCTCACACCTTGAGAATTCAGAAATGCATATTCACATCTGCCATGCCAGCCCTCACCTACCTTCTGCCAGCAGGGACATGGATGCTGATGGAATCTCCCCCACCTTCCCTATCTGAGCACGCTGGGCACCAGGTCCAGGAGGCGGTGGCAGCGACGACTCTGATGCTCCCCCAGACTTGAAGGGGTTCACCTTGGGTTTAGGGGCAACCACAGGTGCAAATTTCTTCTGTGGGTTGTAGAAGGAGGGCGTAGAAATGTTGATGCTGACTGTGGACGTCATGCGGGTCCCTGGGGCACCTGGGGAGGCCATCTTCTCAGCACCTGGCAAGAAAGAAGACGGAGGAAACCTACGTGAAGTCATCCTTGAGCCAGAGTGGAACTTAATAGAGAAGATGTGAATGTGAAGCAGAGGGATACAGGAATTTAAGTCGGGCCAGAGGGTGAGGTGCCTAAGCAGAGGAAAAAAGAGGAACAGAAACTGCAGACAGCTCGAATGAGCCATCATACTTCACCACTTCAACTCAGGATGGCATTAACCACAAAGGGGTTCTGGACACAGAGAAACACAGATCTCTGCTGCACCAGAGCCTCACACGCCGCAGGGGACCATGGTGACCAGGAGGCTGATCCCCTGCACCCCAAGGGATGCCCCCAGAACTGGAGTCAGCATTTCCTCTTCCCCTTTACCCAATAACGCCAGACAGCTCCCCCCGACCTCAGCCTGTGACAGCCTCAGCAATGCTCCCCCAGCCTCCACTCCAAGCCCCGGCATCGCCCACCCTTTACCTCCAGGCTCCTCCATGCCGGCGGAGGCAGAACGACGGGGCAGGTGAGGCTCTCCTCGGTGTCACACCCCCAGCAGAACCCCCGCTGTCCCCGCTCCCTGCCCACGGCCGGGCTGGCCGCGGCTCCGCCGCCCGCTCCGCCCCCGCCAGGAAGCGCTCCCCGGATGCCGCCTCGGCGCCACCGCCCCCCGCCCGCCCCTTAGGGCTGCCGGGGCCGCGGGCAGCACCCCGCAGCCGGGGCTCCCCTCGGCCAGGCCTCCTGGGGGCTTGTGAACCTGCCCTTCTCCCTCGGCTCGAGCAGCCGGAGGATACCGGTACCGAGCCGGCTGCTGGGGGAACCCCAGGTCTCCTGAGAAGAGGCGCATCTCCAGGATTCCCCCAAGCCAACAACCTCACTCGTGCGAAAAGCCTCCATGGAGCCAGACGCTTTGTTGTAAAGCCTGGCATGCCTATAGCCCTCCTAACACCCCAGCACAATAGGGCTGCCGTCAGCACAGGGGCTCTGTGCCAGCATTTCACGTTGGCATGTCCAAATCAGTGCCCCTCCACACTGCCGGCTTCTCTCACGGACAATAACAGCTGCTGGGACAGACAGCCCTGGTGCCACAAACATCCGCCCACCCCCGATTACCCCTGGCTGCTGATAAGACCTTCGTGCCCCATTCTAAGTGCTCCCACGACTCAGTGCAGTGTGGCACGATATAGTGACCTGTCACAGCTTCTCCAGGTCACAAGCATGTGACAACACAAACACAACGTCCATGCTGCTGCACTTTTCCTTCCCTTTGTTGAAGGGCTGAGACCCCTGGTGGCCTAGTGGTTAGCATGCAGGACTCTCACTGCTGCAACCCGGGTTCGATTCCTCGGTCTCCCGGGCAGATGGAACCCGTTAGCCCTGTGAGGCCATCCATCTATGAGAAGGTCACTCTAAACAAACCTACGTCCTGAGGACCTCACTGCCATTGTCCAAGCGTGCTTGGCCCCGGCAGATGAACCTTAGGATTAAAGGGTGGGCTCAGTTCAGCGCAGGCTGTGTCTCACCTAAAAAAATCCATTGCGCAGGCTGGAAAGGTAAAAGACCTTTCCCCAGATCTTCGTTCGCGAAGACTGGCCATTATTTTTTTTATTTTGTTGAAGGGCTGATGAGTTGCATATGCTTGGACAAACTCTTCTGGGCTTTTCAAAGGGAGAAAGAGGCTGAAACAGTAAGCACTAGCCAAAAAGCTGTGCTGAGCATCTCCCACTTGATCCAGCATGAGGAAAGGGCCAAGGCTGAAGAGTAATTAGCAAGGTCTGTCCTTCATCCCTCAAACTTGTAGGGGTCAAGCAGACTTGCAAGTCAGAAGGGACTGACCAACTCTCTCCATTCTACAGCTTCCAGCCAAGCTACAAAAGCTATTAAAAAGACCTCCAACTTTTTTTTAGAGACTTCTGCCTCATGCTCGACTATTTCACTATGGTGTAGTGAGCCACATGGTGGAACAGTAGTTCTACCAGGTTTGACAGCATTATGAGCAGAACACTACAGTGACAATGTCACTTCTAACCATGATCCATACCGGAGCTGGTCAACATACACTCTTGGGATATTGGCTGCTTCACAAAAATCCACTGGCTTTGCTACCAGCAGCTGCTATCTCCCTTAACCCAAAGAAGCCCATTTCCCGATATGCTATGTTGCACTTAAGGCCCTTTTCTGCTCACGGCTGTCTCCATCCAGCAGCTGCCCCTGCTCATCCTTATTTCTGTTTATCAGTCCACCCCCACACAGACCAAACCGGCTGAGAAAGGCTGGCCTTGCAGAGTCACCCCCCCCAACCCTGGGGCGCTGCCAATGCCATCTAAGCCTTTGCAGAAACACACAGTTCATGCAAGTCCTGTGGCGCAGTTTGTGAAAGCTATGGGAGAGGGAATGTGATGCCAAGAGACCTAATCTCAAATCCTTCTCATCCTCACATTTTCCCCAAGGGGAGAGATTTTTCTACCTCCTGTAACAGTTTTTAAGATGACTCAGGTGGAGCTAAGAAGATGCCCCCAAAGGACACAGTCTGGATACCTAGTTGCCTCATACACTGTTTCTCTCTGACAACAAGGAAAAGTAGGAGGACAAAACCAAGTGACACCTCCCAGGAGGTCCCATAGTGGGTCTGCTACTTCTTATGCACCCAGAGAGCTTTCAGTTATTTGATCCCATGATACCACTTTCAAAAGCTCTGCTCCTTTCCTGCGGTAGTGAAAGCAGGAGGAATCTGAGGAAGCAGAGACCTAAAAGCCATTTTTCACCTCTGTTGGTAAAAGCAGTTTGGCTCCAGCCACGCTGGGAGCCCCTGTAAAAGCCAGCCCAGCATCGTGGTTCCATACACGGCATCTGTACTTCCCCTATTTCCCAACTTCCTCCCAACTGAGGGGGGTCAGAAGAAGAACTACAGAAAAAAGAAGAAGAAGAAAAAAAAGAAAAATAAGAGTATTAAGAATAGATTCAACAGATTTAGGAGTTATGCTTATTTTCATACAGAAAGTTCTCCCAGCCTGCCCCAAAGTTACAAAGCTTCAAAGAGAGAAAAGTCAGTCAGCTATGCAAGCTCCAAGGTAGAGCCTTAAAGCAACCGGGCTGGGGGAGGGGGATATTCGGAGTTACAAACTTCTCTCACAGATGCTGGGTTTGCCTCCTCCCTCTGCAAGTGAGGAAAAAAGAGAGGAAAAACTCCAAAAAGCTACGCAAACATATTTAAAACGTTAGAAAGTTCTACGACTTATCAAGCACTTGAGTCTTCGCTTTCTCAGGGCACTCCCAGAGAGATATAAAATCATAAATTGAGTAAATTTCATACACAAAGCGCCCCAGATTCGTCTCTCAAGCACATCTGGAAAAAGGCTCCCGAGGTGTCTCGCTCATCCATGCGCACACAAAAGAGAGCTTGTCCCGAGTAAAGCCCGGCAGCACCCCCTCCCTCTCCCCCGCTCCCGGGGCTGTGCGGGAGCGCTGAGCCGCCTCCATTGCACTGAGAGAGAAGAAAACTCACCCCACACACGCGAACCTTCTCTCTGCGAACCTTCTATCTGCGGAGGGGCAAACGCCCTCACGAGTCACGACGGTAAATCAGCCCCACCGAGGGCGAAGGTCTCTGTCCGAGGCGACGAGCCGTGAGGGCGGGAGCGGCAGGAAACCCGCACACACCTCCACGCCCCGCGCCAGCCCCAGGGCAAAGAACAAAAGCTTTGTCGCTAAGCCAAGCGAAGAGACTCACCTCTGGGGGAGCGGGAAATGCCACCCCCGGGGCTGGGGCTTTCGGGGCTGGGGCCGGGCTCCTCGGCTGCCCCGGCCCGCCCGCCAGGAGAGGCAGCAGCACCGAAAGGCGGGGGAGAGGCTAAACCCCGGCGTTTCCTCCCAACTCGCGAAAAAAGCCTCGCCCAGGCAAAGTTGTTTGACCATAAAAGGCGCGAGGCTGCGCACACAGCTGAGCTCACTCGCTGGGGAATGTGGCAATGAGGTAACGGGGGGACGGGGCTTGCCGGGGCAGCGGCCCTGGGTTGTGCTGGCTGGGGAGGGGGCTGTTCTCTGCCTGCCCGAGGACGCGAACGAGACGTGTCTGTCGGGGTTTCTCACCGGTACCCTCGGCACCGACCCTGGGCTGGGCTCGCTGACTGCCCCCCGCACAGAGCCCTGTTCCTCCCGCTTTCCCTAACCTTGGAGCTGCCCCCAGCCCGTGATTTCACTTCCAGTCGCTGAGCTGGATTTTCGGAAGAAATGCGGCGGCTCTGGTGAGTCAGGGTCCCTGCTGGCCTCTTCCTTGCCCGAGCCAGCTGTGAGAGCATCTGACTCACGCTCCCTCATTCTGCCAGAAATTAAAGCAAACATCAGATGACTCCACCGTGCAGAAAAGCGACTTGTTCTCCTTACACTGGCTGCAAGGCAAACACTATAAGCTGGTTTATATCAAATACTATCCACAGGAATTGCTTTGTTGCATTGCCAATGCTGCACATCGGTTTTATTTTTATCCCAGTGCTGGCTGTGGTTCCAGCCCCGCTCTAGAAAGGGGACAACCTGACCCAGCACAACAGAACATGCAATCTTCAACCTCAGCCTTTGCTGCTTCTTGCTTCAAAGCCTCTCAGGAAGGAGGAGCACCAATAAAGGCAGAATTCCTGTGCTTCGAGAAATCATTGTACTTGGACTTCGGAATTTGGTCTTAATATTGGGGTTAATAGCCCTACTGTTGCAAATGTCCTCGAGAATTACTGTATTTGGTAATGCTCAAGGGATTTGTGGTTTTTCTGCTCCTAAGACTTACCTATCAACACAGGTATCTTTCAGTACTGGTAATTTACTTGCAGGTGGGTGAGTAAGCCACAAACCACACCAGTGAGACTCCCAGTCTGCACTATTGCAAAATGCTCACACTACAGAGCTAGGCAAAGAGATTCATCCAAGGCTTAAATCCAGTGTAAACAAGTCTTTAATTTTACACATAAGGCTTGTACAAAGAGGTTATATCTTTTTATTTAACCAGATGATACAGTTGGAAAAATTTACTCTCTGAGGTTTTTCAGTGTTACATACCATATGAAAATGCCACCCATAACAATGCTGAGTATCTCACTCCTCACATAGCTGCAACCATTGATATATAGCTGTGAACTTCTTAGGCATATATAGCTCTTCTGTGGGTTCTAAATAACCCTGAAGTTACTGCTGCTTTTCTAGGCATGGCATCAGCTCTGTTACCTCCTATGATTAATGCACAAGGTAATTATATAGGATAAGGAAGGTATCTCTGTGCTGGGTCTTCTAAGACTGTCACTTTTCTAGTGCAGTGAGTCCTTTTCCCTCTTGTTCAGGTAAAGATGTCAGTGCAGAGCTAAAAACATTTCATTGCGGAATTGCTAACCAAATTCTGGAACACCACAGCACCCTTTACACAATCAGCCTGACGTCAGAGAACTCTGCTGCTGTTCCCTGGGCTAGCCTTGACTCCAGAGGAAACAAAGAATGTCTCAGACTGAGATTAAAAAAGTGCTGAGTGAATATGAAAAAAGATCTGTGCTCTCATATTTTCTGGTCACATCCCCATAAAACCAGATGCTTGCATGTTTGATTGTCTCACCCATGTGGTGATGTTAAAAGTTCATGAAGGCAGATAAAACAAAGTGGGAATAAGAAAAGCAGATCATCTTAGGCATTTTGTATTAATTCCTCACTATGAAGAAACACCTACGAAACACAGGTGTTTTGCAGGTTGCACATGTGAAAGGTAGACTTCTCAAATCAGAATATATCAGTACACAGGGGGAAGCTAATCTGATTTCATGCCTGCCATATAGTAGACTTAAAGTTTGTGTTTTGTAATCAGAAATGAAGATGACTTCCCTATGTTAGTTCTGACTGCTCCAGAAACAGAATTAGAATCTCCTTATGCTAGCAACCTTCCTTCATGGAATTATTTGCTTGAAAGAGTAGACATTTTTCCGCTGCAAATGAAAATCAGAGCCCTAAGATGTACACAGTTGTAGTCACTCTCATTAGCTAAAGGAAAATATTAGTCCTGAAGAGGCATTTAGCTGTCTGGGTACAGTGATGGATTAGCAGGTATACTTAGCTTGTGCCAGACCTTGTTATTTCTGGAATTAGCAGCAGTCCTCTGCATAAATCACTTTGTCTGTCCCATACCATGACTAAAAACGATCTAATATTTGGATTATATTGTGGTGCAAATGCTACTATACACAATGGGTGAAGTGACAGCCCACTACAAAGCAGGTGTTGGAGGCATTTTGAAGACAAAGTTCTAGCTGGGTGCTTCTTTGAGGCAAATGACAGGATGCAAGCCCCAGTACTGGCTATCAAATCAAAGCTTAGAAATGCTTAGAGTTCAAGGCCCTCACCTCAGAGAGACTAAGTTTTAATGGAGACAGTTATAAAGAATCTTCACTGGTAATTCAGTCATGTAATGCAAAGAGTAAATAAAGAATAATGCCACACAGAAGTGATGTGGCAAATTCATATACTGCACTGGGATGAGGAGTATACTAGCAGTGGTGCCTATAAAAGAAAAATAAAAATAGATGTAAGAGAAACAAAAATAAGTCCTTGAATGCAAAAGGAAGGATTATTTGCCAGAACACTATCAGGGAATTAAACTTGTTGGGCAGAAAATCTGTTCTGATAGCCCGGTAGGGTTCAGGTAGCTGCAGACGGGAATCTTTGTGTTAAATATATGTTTAATGTCAGAAGAAAGCAATCTTGAATCTGGACAGGGTGCTTTAGTTATTAATAATGCAAAATGTCTGCATCTGTATAATTTCTATTCATATCAACAGATCAATTAGTGCCATTTTTTCTCAGCGTGAGTTAGTTAACAATTAGTGATGCCATACAGGAGTCCATGTTTTTCCTAAGCAGTGAAAAGTTCTGACTTATATCTGTGTCAAATCTCTGATGCTTTAGTCATATAACTTCTGTTTAGTCTAACCACATTTTACTGATTATTGCTAAGTTACCACTTAATAAGCTTTCCCCGTGCTGTATTAAATGTTATGTCTGGGCCTACTGGAAGAGTTAGGAATATGTAATGGATCTGCTTTGGTCCCCAGGCTGAGAAGTACAGATGAGGTTAGGCCTGCACTGTCAAGGGCAGAACCACCTGCAGCAAATTGCCTGCATCCATATGGACCAACAGATGTTTCAGTTGGATTCAATGAACTTAAGAGTTCTTTTCCAACCTGAACAATTCCATGATTCTATGTAATGCACCTTGGTAAGAGGTCTCCTAGGACCTATTGTGCTCCCACAACACGTCCGTCTCCTGGCACGCTCCTTGCTCCCGCCCTCAAGTGCATTCTCCGTGTGAAAGACTACATCTGGCATAGATTGTCACCTGCCATGGCTGCTGCTCACACCCTTCATGGAGGCCATGACGTGTGTGGAGCTGCCTTTCTCCTGACCAAACAGCGGTTTCAAGTTGGAGTGCCTTAGTCCCCTTGCGGGATGTGTGTCGACAGCTATGTGCCATACACAGAGAGCTGTGCTGGGGATAGCAGAGCCTTAAGAGACAGCAGTCCTTATGAGCCTAGTCATCTTCCTGCATCTGTGAAATTGGCACACAGTCAGGAATGCTATTTGCAAAGGTCATGAATTGTGAAGTCCCTGAATGACCAGCCCAGGACATATATCTATTGTGTCCTTGCTGGTTCTCTTCAAAGCACACATCAGAAGTGTCCCTTCCCAAGAAAGGGAGCTTCTTAGTAGCTACAGAGAGCCTCTGTGATCTCTGCAACTGAAGGCCCTTGAATCCCACTGTGAAGGTATTGCATGGTACACATGCACATATGTACATACTTCAAAAGGCCATTCCGTCCACATACATACAATTAGATTACCCTGACTAAAACACTAGAATAGGCCAAAAACTGTAAATAGAAAAAAATCCAAACCTGTGAAACGTTTTTTTAATGAGACAAATCAGACACATACAAATAAGAGGGAGCAGAGGATCTCTGTGGCATGACCTTGGACATGCCAGGACATGACTGGTCATGGCAGCCAGGCACCCAGGAGAACAGGGGACTAGGTGGTGTCTGTCCAGGGAAGAAGCTCCATTTCCAGCAAGGCTGGCAGATCTTTCCTAGACAGAGCCATAGTAGGGCCTCCTGAGCAGGAGGTGCAGCTCCCAGATGAATCACCACTGCTGTTTCCTTATCTCCTTCCACCAAAATTTCCTGCCAAGCTGCTGCCTCTATCTGCTTCTCAGCATGGCAGCAGGCCTGCAATTCCATGGCTCCTGGGGCTTGCTCACTGACAGGCTTCCCCTCACATGGCTCTCCCACACCTACTGCTCACTGCTGCTGGGCTCTGTGCCTGAGGAATGAGGGATGCAAGCAGGCTGTCCCAGCGGATATCTCTTCCCTCAGGTGCTGTACGACCTGTTCTGCAACTCTGGAAAACTACGAGATAGCTCCTGGGGCATGCCCATGTGTGTGGTTGAGTACAGACAGCCGCCAGAGCCCATTCTGCTCGGAAAGCTGCCATTTCCACATTCCAAGGCACCCTTACCATTTCCTCAACTGTGTGCCCCACCCATTGCCACCAGCAAGACAAGTGGTGACATATTTGGATGTTCTACGGCAAATATTACTGCTTGTCAGAAGTGACTATCAAAGAAACACATCTGTCAGCCTGCTAATTTAAGAGTTCCTGTGTGTGGTGCAAGCCTCTTTCCACCCGGGTACCATGCTCTCGTGCAGAAGTCTCCTTTCTTCACTCCATTATTTAGAGCAGTCTTGTAAGCATGGCACAAACAAGCCATGCTCCTTCCTACAAATGAGTGTAATCAACAGACATGTACTCCTGGGTGCTCACTGTGTTGCATCCTAGGGGATTTTGAAAAAAAGTCCCAGAAATAATTTCAGTATATGTGTCAGGGGGAGGATGCCACATCCTGAGAAAAGGGTTCTTTCCCTGCATCCTCCCTGTGACAAAGCTGAGAGGCAAAAGCAGGTTCTCAACTCTCTTGATATCATACTGAGTGTCCTCCTATGTCATACAGTAGAAGTTGTGTAGTGACTTCCCAGGGAAGGATCTGGTGCAGCTGCTTGGTACTGGAGGGACAGAGATGCCAAGCTACAGTCTCAGTAACATTAACCTGGGACAGGATCCTAATCAGTCCAGTCCACAGATGGCCCCTTTCTATCCCAGTGCTATTATTTTCCTGCTTAAGAACTGGGATAGCCAGATAAGCAGAGACAGGCTTTAGAGACTGCTAATTCTATGGTGCCTACGAAGAGGTGCTACGCATATGTCAGGGCATGCTGGACCTGTGAATACATTAGGCATGCACAAGCAGATGGCTCTGGTCAGGAAGAATGAAGCCTGGTATAGTCCACACCTGCATTATCTATAGGGTGTGGATCCTGAAGCAAACTGCCCTCTCATAAAACCAAATAATTGGTTAACTCCAGATTAGAGTCCTGGCAAAACCTAGTATGTACACAGTATAGATGATCACAGAACCAAGGCCTGGAGCAAAGCAACAAACCAACCAAATAGACAATACAGGCATATGGTCCAACAGTCTGCTTGCAAAAAAAAAAAAAAGAAAAAGAAAAAGGAAAAAACCCCAGGCCAAATGTTACCCACAAGCTGCATAGTAAAACACCATTTGAGTACAGCTTTCTTTGCTTTCCAAAAGCAAAAGGTGTGGGGCTATATGAAGTTTCCTGCAGTTCCCAGGTTTAGTACATGTGGCTACTAGTACCTTTGCTAATTAATTTACTGATAGTATGAGTAAAAGGATAACTACAGACCAGACAAAAATCTTTGTTTCATGGGATTGTCAAGATAATTAGCTGGGACTTGCAGTGGAGCCACTGTCCTTTCAGTGGCAGCTTGGAGTCTGTGACAAGTGACAATTTACAGGAGAGAGCTGGTTTTCAAACAGAGTATGATTTTCAGTAGGTTGAAAATATAAGGGTGTGACAGGCCTTACTGAAGATCTATGGTAAGTTCATTCTGTATGCAGCAAAGTGATCAAGCACGGACTGTTCAGGATAGGGTAGTAGCAGTTATAGGCCACCATTGCCAGCTTTTGTAGCTAGTCTAAGTGAGACTGAGAGATAAGTAGCCACAGCTATTGTTCCAAATGCAGGAGAGGTCCTCAAAAAGTGTTCCACTTTGTATTACCAAGTCATTGACTATTTGCACATTGGGTTCTCCCGAGGTGTGCTGGCACGACAGAGACATAGCCTAAATTCTGGATCAGTTGACTCCCACCACTTTGCACCAATGCAAAGTGCTTTTCCTCCCATAACTGTGAACCATACCTGCCTGTCAGTTGCAGATGCCTGGGCAAAGGCTCAGGACATAACATTATCTTAGAGATCTTTTCCAACCATAATGATTCTATGATTCTGTGATTTAAAAACTCAGCTCTGGATGTACATTTCTGGAGATGCACTTCCAAGGCATTCTTCAGTTGCCTTGATGAAGGTCAATATGATGACCATGTCTCTGAGGTACTTGGCAAACTTCCCGCCCCTTTGCTTCCATGGCTTATGAAAGAAGTAATTTAGAACCTTTAACCTTATCCAAAGCATTCAGTTTCCATATAAACCACTTTAGATATGCATTTGGCCAGTTGCAGTCTGCCTGAAGGTCATCTGTTCAGGCTTCATATGCAAATATGCTTCTTCCCTGGGATTCTTGAGGCCCAGGTAATGCCTGTGACAGTGCTGGCTAAAAGTTGGGAGCAGCAGGTAGTGAAAGATGTTTGGAAACTAAGCCAGCAGAATCTCATCAGGTTGCTAATGAAAATAGGCTCAGGTTATGAGGAAAGCCCTATCAAACCATTTTCTGCAGAGTGACTGATGGTTTCAGAGACAGTGTTAGTTGCCAAAAGTAATGAATGGGATATTTACAAAGCTATTTCTCCAGATCAGTGTTGCTTTTCCTGGGCCTCCCACCAACAGCTTTCTTCCCAACGCCTTGGTACGTAGTGTTCAATGCCATGAAAAGGATTGCTGGGTCTTACCACCAATAATCCTTTTGTTTCCTGTTTATTTGGCCTTTATGGGCATGCTTTCCAAAACTGTATCATCCCAAGGTGGTCATTAAGCTTCTATTTTAAGAATATAAAACAAAAATGAGACTTGATAAAAAAGGAAGACTATATTTGTTTGAAAATGTTTTTGGAGTAAACCAGAAAATAACGTGGATTAGTGTAACAGCTTGGCAGATTTGAAACATTGCAAGAGCCACACATTACATCCAATCAATGTACAGGCAAGCAGTGCAACCTCAGATGAAATAACCTGACAAGGAAGGAGCCACCTTAGTTCCAACTGTCCACTTGCTTTGGGACACACTGGACATCCTGCATTTCTCCAATGCAGTAAAATTGCTCCCATTTTGTCCTGATCCAAGAAAGAGAAAATCTGCATAGAGGTCCACATTTAAATGTACATATGGGATACTATCTGTATCCATTCCCTCTTAGATTTCAAAAGGAGGCATTCCACAGGGCTAGACTACATACTGCAATAAGTTTTCTTGAGGAATGGGACAGGAAAGGGTAGAGGGTACAGTTCATCTGTGAAGAATATGGATGAAGGTCTGGTCTGGTTGATGCTGTTCATTGTCTCTAACTCCTCAGATGGTATCACTGCAGACAGGTATCAGCCCTTTGGTGCCAAAAACCTAAATTCAGCTTAATGACCTTAGCTTGCGGTCAAAATTAGAGGGACACTAAATTGTAGACTTTTTTTACTTTTTAATGTTGCATATTCTCAGGCCCCTGGCTTGGTTTTGAGGCTGGAATGACTCCCTCATTAGACTCAGAATTCATTTTGTCTTTCAGCCTACACTGATGAGAAACCTACAGTATGCTGCATCCTGCTTTGCTGTCTTACCAGATAATACCAGAGTCCTAGAGTCTCCATTTCTGTTTGCTTTTGACTCGAAAATTGTTATTCTCCAAATCTCTGCACCTCCAAGCAAGGAATGGAATTTCAAGTTACGTGGTGCCTGAAGAATTCCACTCTCCTAAACATAGCAATTATTTATGTGACTTGAGGGACCACGAGACCAGAACTCTCTTCATCTACAATAATTTCAACTCTTTCTCCCAGCTGACAGTAAACTGAGGAAGAAGTAGTAAATATGAAAGTATGATAAATGTTCTCTTACCTACTACAGATTAAAAACAATTTTGGGAAGGTAGAAAGAATTGAAGAGCAAGCCTTCTGTGACAGCAGATAAAACAGATAACAGCCTTTGCCTAAGCCCAGTATTGATACATAGTATCTCCACAGACTATGTGGTGCAACAATAAACATTATTATTCCAGTAGCCACCTCTTGAATTGCATTGGTGGATTTCTTTCAAGGATCAGCTATGATCCCAACAGGTTTGAGGTCAGGATGCTCTTCTTTGCTGGGCTGCTTCTGATAGGGGATGCCTCCTACTCAGAAGGTACCATCAGGATGTCAAGTATTGCAAGGCAGTAAGAAAAGGCAGCAAGACAGACTCTTCTGAGATCCTGTTCCTCAAACTTCAGTAGAGAACACAGAAAGAAGCAAGGTCCAAATGTTCTTATTAAGGTGGTTGTCAGCAGGGAAAGACATTAGACCTCAGAAGACTTGTAAACAGATGGGAATGGAAAGGTCACCTCCAAATAAGCACAGAGGGAAACATTCTGGAACCCACCATATTCCTTATGGACTGCAGCACAGCAGAGCAGAGCAGGTAGACGTATTCACATCTTCCAGAAACAGCAGCAGGCCTGACTTGATTCCAAAAATAGTTTGAGTCAATGTTGATTTGCCAGAGCCTACTCACAACAGCTGTGTTCTCTATGTTAGAGAGCAATTTCTGGAAATTTTTTAAAATGTGAGGGCCATTCTGTCAGTGCATGAGCGAACAGTTTAAGTCGATATTTTGCTTCAGGATACATTATACTGTCACTATTCCAGACTTAAGAATTTGGCAGTGAGGACAGAATCTCTAGCTTTTACAATAAGAAGTACTTTCTTTGTTCAGACTTGCTTTTAAGGTTTAGGGTATTTTTGTACCTTTTTATTAAGATCTGTAAAACTCCAGAAGCACATTGCAGGAAAAAATAAACAAACAATGTATTTTTAAAACTGCGAGTATCCACAGTTTCTCTGAGCTTCTAGTCCCCCATCTCCAATATATCAAAGGGAGAGAGTGAGGAGATGACAACTGATATTTTGTAAGGCTAAAAATATTGTGCCTTTTTACATAACACTGAGAATTTAAAAAGCACATTAACTGCTTGCAGATTATTTTTAAAAATGCAGTTTGAGCAACACCACTAGTATAGATTCAACTGACATTTAGCAGAAGTAGCTGCTGTATATTTCACTGTTGGGAAATGAGACATTCAGTAGAGAAATAAGTAAATGTTTTAAAAAAGGCAAAATAAGACTCAGACTGCATCAAAGATGTCTGCACTCTAATATACACCTCACATTTATGTCATGGGTGGTGTCTGTTTCTCTAATGCATATCAAGTAGCCTTTTTGACCCTCCAAAGCCATCTCCTCTGACCTTACCTCTTGGCACTATCTACCTGATGGTGAGGAACCTTCACATTCTCAATGTGACTGCCAGAGGTTCAACAAATTCCCTTTTTTTTTACACTCTTGGAATTTCCTTTCTTTTTTCCTCCTCATTTGTTAGCATCTACTGAGCCCTTCCTGACAGGGAGGGAGTGGAAAGGAGTGCCTTATCTGAAATCACTTATCTTCCCATTTCACTTGCTGCTGGAAAAGTCCCAGGCCATGGTGGAAGAAACTGGAATTTGAGAGCATGGCCCAGCATACCTTCAGTCTCAATCTGTGTGTAGCAGGCATTTAGCTGGTTTAGACACAAGGTAAGGACACATGAGGATGCAGAATAGATTTATGACACTTGCCAGAATGGTGTTGCTGAGTGGGTGAAGTTTGTGACAGATGAAGCAGACTTGCTAATTCTTTGATGCTGAGCTGCAGTTCCAGAGAGCAATGGTTCTCCATGCTCAAATGGAAGATGATGCATGATCACATGCAGTAGGTCAGTGTGCTACAAAGGCATCAGTGAAATGCTAACAGAGCAAGCTGCACCACCACAGTCCCAGATGGTAAATTCCTTTTCTATGTCTTCTGTAAAGTCATGAAATGGGAACTGTATGAAAATGAGATCTTAATATATGCAAAACAGAGCATGACACTTCTGCATGACTCTGGATAAAAATCAAAACACGGGTGAAGATTCTGAGAGAATATTACACTTGCTAAAAACCTACAAAACAGCAATGTTCTGAAAAACTCTGAAGCTACAAATTCCTAAGAAAAACTAATGGAAGGCAAGTATCAAGATAAGATGAGAAAAGAATGGCGAACACCGAGTATTGAACATTCATTTGTGTACCAATATGTCAAACCCATGTGTTATACAGAAAGTTGATTACATTTTAATAAAATACCACCAAATTAAGTGAGGTCACATAACAGGGATCTTGCAGCAAAGTACGTATGTGAGTCCTGCCTATTGTTAGACTACAGCTAGCCCACTGTTTGCCTGCGCTTTATGTGTTGGGATGACATACCTCTCCACTGCAGAAATTCTTAAAATTTGTTTCAGAAATACATTTTTTAAGAATCTCAACTTGTATTGAAATGAGTGTGTTTTTAAGGTATCTGGCTAACATCAAAGTATTGAATTCCTCTGAGTAAGACTGTCCTTAATTTGGGACGGTCCATCAATGTTCAGTTTCCAATAGATCATGCCAGGCTATACAAAGCACGTGTTTCTGCTTCAGCAGCATGGGCCAATTTGAGAACTCACCATGCAGGGAGAGAGGAAAATAATGTTTTGGCACTCACTATTACCTCTCTTCAGCAATATGGGACAAAATACCCAGGAGGTTTTTTTGATAAATACACTATTGAGGTATTGATTATTTGTATTGATTAGTTCTATCTCAGCACTGAACTAATACGCTCTCCTAGAAGTTTTTTATGAGCTGTGGCTGCAGGTGGAAGAAGATCGCGTTTGCTCAGATGTGAGTGTAGGTAAGCATGAGCTTATATCACAATATGCAATGCAAACATATCCTACCTCTCTCCATCTGTTGTCCCTTCTAATCTTCAGTTGACTCACACAGCCTCAAATATTTTCCCAGCTTGAAAGGACCCAGCCTTTCACTTATGTCAGACAAGTTGCACCACTTTCAGGATCTGAACTACATTGACACTGCTTTTTTCATTCTTTAAACCTCATAAAAAGCCTTTCTGTTTGTCTCCTGCACCAAAGTAGCTCTGAACAAGAACAACTATATGAGTCATTTTGATATCTCATTTCCTTTTTGGTCCACATGAAAATCCTATCAGTAGCTAATACAGCTTGATGTAGAATTAACTCTTATGGCATCTATCCATTACTTCTATGAAGCAATTACTGAGATCTCTGTCAGAAGTAGCTTTTGCTGGGGAATCCAAACTGCCAGTGGAAGGAGGCCAGAAGAGAAGCATATTGGAGCTACAGTCCCCAGAGGATGACTTCTGCCTCTATAGATCTGATATAGATGCTATTTTTGTAAACATCTCCTACTCATGAACTTCATAGGCCTCTGTATATTTTCCACAGCTGAAGACACATCTTGCAAGAAGCATGTAGAAAGTTTCTCCATGTCTTTCTGGGATAGTAGTTGGTCACATGATATTACATAACGATTTTAAAAAGCATCAGAGAAGGAGAAGGTTAGGGTTAGGGTTCATTTTTCAGAGCCTTTTCACGGGAAGATAGACATGGTTCCCAATGACACCTCTGGGGACAGGAGTAGACAGAAGGAAGATATATTTCGTGGTTGGTGATGTTTACTTGGAAGTGGAGCATTAGTTGGCAAGATTTATATTGGTATTTTTTTCATTTTAACTGGTTTAAGTGGTAGCTAAGGGAGATGACAGAGGCACATTACCTACTGTGATATAATCTGCATCCCTGATAATTAATTGATGAAAAGAATAAATTTACGCAGCAGGTATGACAGTGACAATAGCTCTGTATTTTATAAGCACTGTTTCTTAGGAAGATGCTGTTCCGGTATTTATAATTTATAAGATCTTTATATTTATATAGAGATATAGGGAATACTTGGTAAAATAGGTTTAATGTATTCATCAATGGCTTATAGAAAAGATAAACGCTGCTGAACAGCTGTCTCTTAAAACACAAACAAGAAGTTAACAATTTACAGCATAAGCCAGTCTCCAGGTTTATGACAGAGGCCTCAGAGTGGGTTTAGAACAAGTTGTTAAAAACTATACTTAATCTAAAGCTGCTTTACTCTCTGCTGTTACCAGTCCCTCTACCAGGCACAAGGTCACTATCTTTAGCTTTGCTGGAATTATGTTTTCCTCTCCACTCATTCCTGCTCAGACTTACAGTGACCACTTGGTCTGAATGCCAGGGGTGGGGGGGAAGAGACCATTGGAGGTGTGGATGCTTGTCTGTTCCCAACTCACCTTGGCATACAACCCCAGAAAGAGGTGGTCCTTGCCTAGCAGCACATGCTTGAGTTGATTATGGCATCTCAATTTCTCTCTTGCATTCAGGACAAAGGTGCAGGAATGGAGGAAGAAAAAGGTCAAGGGAGCTTTATGTCGCACTTCCTCCACCAGCATCCTTGACCTAGTTTGGGCAGCACTGAAGCTCTGCTCTGCAAACAGAAGTTCCTAATGGCAGTGACCCACGGCCCCACAAGAAGTCAAACCTTCCTTCTCTTTTGCCCAGCACGCCTCTCACAACAGGGGCTGTGGAAAGGGAGGTCTACAGCTCTACAATAAACAGAGAGGCACATAATTTCATCCATCATACAAACAATTTAGGAGGTTGCAAGTGGCTGTTTTCTACTGCTCCTTCCTTTGAGATACCCAGCTATGTTAAGGATCGTCTCTCTAGACACTTAAATATCTCTCTCTCCCAACCCTGTATGAAAATGTTTATTTTCAAAGATCTTTTAGACCAGCATTTAAATCAGCACTTATCAAAGGTATTTTGTACACAATTTCCTACATGAAATTATAGCCTCATTGTTTAGGAAAGTACCCACAATGCTTAGAGAAAATGCTTAGCGCCTGTCAAAGTGTATTTCAAAGAAAACAAAACCATTTATTTTCTGTCATTTACCTCCAGTTCCTTGCAGCAGCAGTGGGAATACTGTTGCTCAGGAAAAGCAAGGACAGAAACTGTGGGGGACAGTTAGATTTATGCTCTGTTTCAGTCCCTTTTTCAGAGATGCAGTCCTGTCACTTCCCTCCCAGGTGATAATTCTCATGAAACCATGTACTGATTCAGAATGTAAAATAGATACTTTTCTTATGCTACTGTATGATAAACATATTTTAACTGATTTTAGAAAGTTAGTTATTGGCTTGTTAAAACCTAGAAACTATTCACTGATGATGAGTTCCCTATTGCATAGAACCTACTGTACAGAAGAGCCAAGCAACTGGGTGAAAGCTGAGAGATGACAGTCTAGCAAAGTCTTCTCAACTTCTAATGAGAATGAAATTTGCTTTAAATATGGAGATTCATGTAAACATGGTCCATAATAAATAAAGGTGTGACTAAGAACCAAAGGATGTGAAGAGTCTATCCTTTCATTAAATTAACTATATTAAAAATGGCAGACAAAGCATGGCTGTAGTTGCCAAGATAGGTATTGCTTCCAGCAGCTAAGTGATATTGATTCCAAATTAAAAAGAGGGAGCTTGTGGCATCAGGACATGTGAGGTAGCCACAAGACAGGCCAATAGTTCTGTGGAGTGAATGAATGGACACTCAGGTATAATCCTCCTTCTCTCCAGTCCTTTTTTCTGCTGTGCGTGTCTGACACTTTGCAGCAGCATGGGTGCTTGCCAGATCACTATGTAAACTATCGGCTCACTAAAGCATCAGAAGACAAATCCATCAAGAACTGGAAAGAAGTTTTTCAGGCAGGGTAAGTGCTAGGACTTGCCCACCTGCCTGTAGAATCATACCCTGAGGTAGAAGTCAGAGCAGATGTAAATGATATTGTAGCTTAATGAAAGGAAAGCCAAATGTGCACTTGCTAGGACCTGGGGTGTGACTTGAGATAAAGTGATAGACAAGCTAAAGCATCATGCGGGGGGAATTAAGAAGAGTCAATATGACTTACCTGAAATCTTCATTTCAGCAGAGATCACTTACAGTGCAAAAAGCAGCTTCACTGAGGAACAGATTTAGATTGGGTGGGTGGGTGAGAGAGAGAAGGGGATTAAGATGAAACCAGACTCTTTCTGAACAGATGAAAAGGGATTCCTCACAGCTGTGGCAGTAATACATCTTCTCAGGCCAGGATGAGATGCAAATGCTGTTTGGTGGAGTTTGGTGAAACTCCTAAGGACAGCTGTCCTGATCAATCTGTCCACAGGAGACTGCAGATACAACAGTTGGCCGGGCAGCGAAAAACATTTATCTGAAACAGGATTTGGGTCTTAATATACCACTCTTCCCATTGCAATTTGCTTCTGTTTCCCCTTTCCTTGCATTTAGCCTTCCAAGTCAATATAGATCTGCTTTTTAGCGATGGTGAAACACCTCTGGTTAACATGAAGCTCTGCCAAACCTATGGTTCCCTGGTATTTTTATAACCTGGATTTCAAGAGTGCAGATGTGTTGAGAAAAGTATCTTTAGTGAGTCATTCAAAAAGACTAGATGAAAACTGATAGGTTTGGAAATACATGGGGGAGGTGGAAGGAGGAGTGAAAAAGGAAAAGAATTTTACTTGAAGAAAAACTTTATCCTCAGCAGAGATCTAATGTGTTGCACCCAGTGATAAGCATTATAGCACCAGAGCAGACTGGCCTCGGGCACCCAGAGAGAGGAAGACTATGATTTCCTACACTTCAGCAGTGTCATGTTCATCATACATAGTACTATCTTCGATACCATAAAGAAGGGAAAAGATACAACAGCTGTATATATTCAGACAGTGCCTTTTTTCCCTTCCTGCATAAATTTCCTTCCTATATAAATTTTAGTTTGTATGAGTAGACTTCCTGCTTATTGTTTCAGAGGGTCAGGCAAAATATGATATGCCTGAAGTCCTTTTCTTTTCTTTATTTTTTTTTCTTCCTTAGGCTGACTGTAAGTTGTGAATGGGAATGAATGAACTTACATATTCCCTGGTACTGCTGTTAATGAGGGCTTTTCAGCTGTCTTGAGTGACTTCTCAGCAATGCTGACAAAACCTGAATTTTCCAGGCCTAAGGATAAGATCAAAATAGCTCATTTGGGATCAACGAAATTCAATTTGCCATTAACTAGAGATGAGTGGAAGGATGCTGACGAGTTCAGAGAGGCTTTTGGGGCGAGGAATGCACAAAGGACCAAGGAGAAATCCTGAGCATTTCAGAGAGTGGGGGTGGAATGAGCAGACTGAGGAGAGACTGTGGTGGAGGGGAAGTGGGCAAGGAGGACACTGCCTGTTGCTTGTGCCATCAGCTGAGGAAGAATTTGGGCTGTGAAGGGAGTTGACCTAACCACACCTTCTCCATCTGCAGAGATCCCTCCTCACTGCCATGTTAGCGGGGAGGACGTGGAAAAGGCCTCAGCAATCATCCTCAGGGATGAGCTTCCTTCACCGACCTGCGGGGCCACGGGCAGAGAGATGCCAGGCGGCGCCGCACGTCTGCGCCTCGCGGCCCCGAGCCCCGCAGCACGGCCAGGGGCAGAACGTCCTCCTGCCCGAGCTCGCTGCTGGGGCCGCTCCGCGGGCCGCCCGCCCCTCGGCGGCTCCCGCAGTCCCCGCAGGCAGGGCTGCGGCGGGGCCGCTCCCCGGGACCGCACCGGGACTGCACCGGGACCGCACCGGGACCGCGCCGGGCCGGCTGAGCCGGGAGGGAGCGCGCCGGGCGCGCCCCGGGGGAGGCGCGGCGCGGCCGCTGGGGGGCTGCCGGTAACTGAGTCGGGTCCGCAAGTGTAGTTACCGGGAAAACCGCGCCCGCCGCCGCCTGCCTCCATCCTTTCTTCCTTCTCTCCCTCTATCCCTCCATCCATTCCCCCGTGCCCCTCGCTGCTGCTGCTGCTACTGCTTCTCACTGGGACGGAGACAAGCACCCTACCCGCCCACCTCCCCCTGTTCCCCCACCTGCTCTACTCTCGCCCCCACCGGCTCCCGGCCTGCGGCACCGCCCGCCGCTCACCTGCGCCCGCCCCTCCCCACTCCTCTCCCCAGGCGGGAGGGAGGGGCCCCGCGCCGCTGCAAACCACCACCCCCCCGTTCCATCCCGCGCCGCCCGCACCTGTCCTGTCCCGTCCTGCCCACTCGCCCGCCCGCCGGGGGTCCCTCGCCTCGCCCCGCCACCGGCGCGCCACGCGTCCCCCGCGGGCAGGAGGGACGGCCCGGCCGGCGCTGCCTCCCCTCCCCGGGCCGCGGAGGGCGGCAGCCAATCGGCGCGGCGCTGCCGGGCCGGAGCTGTTTACCCAATCTCAGCCCGCCCCCCGTCGGGGAGCCGGGAGCGCGGAGCTGGGAGCGGGGGGCGGGCGGGCGGCGGGGGCTCGGCGGTGGCACCGGCGACGACGCGGCCGCGGTCGGGGAGCCGCGCGGGGCGCGGAACAAAGCGCGGAGGCGCGGCGGGGGCAGATGACAGCCTGGCCCGCGGGCTCCCCGCCCGCCCGCCTCCCCCCGGCGGGGGCACCCCGCGCCCGTACCTGACCATGACCCCGCGCCGGTCCCCGCTGGGCCACCCCGGCATTTCCCGCTGAAGGGACTGGCTGCTTTCCGACCACCACCGCTCCCCACCTTCTCCGCCTACTCGCTGGTGAGGCTGCCGCCTCTCCCCGGAGCCCCGCTGGAGTGATGGGCTGCATCGGATCCCGCACCGTGGGTAAGGCGTTGGCGGGGACGGCGCTAGAGGATGCTCGGGCAGTCGCGGACCCCGCCCGGGGACCGGCACGACAGCCCCCGGCACGGCGGGTGGAGGGTCGCCCCTCGCAGCCCCCCTCCTGGTTGCCCGTCCAGCGCCATTAGCTGCGTGCGACCCTTCCCCACCTCCTCCTGTGCCCGGTCTCCTGTGGCGTGGCGGGGCTCCGCGGAGCCCCGGCCGCTGGCCTAGGCGCTGGCAGCACGGCGGCGAGACGTGCCCGGGTCCGGGGGGTCGTCTGCCCGTGTCACCCGTGACGGAAGGTCGTGGAACATGTGGGTCAGTGCGGCGCCTCCGGAGGAGGGGGTGGGAGCGGGGTGTGCCGTGCCGTGCCGTGCCTCCCGGAGCGGGATCAGGCGGACGGCGGCTGCCTCCTTTGCTCGGTAGCGGTTTATTGTTATCCGAGGATACATAACATTGCATGATCTGCACGTCTTCTTCTCTCCCCCTTCCCCCTACGTAGACTTCAATGGAGAACAGCAAACAAATCTGAATCCCTTCCCTCTCGCAGAGCCATTGCGAGGGGACCCGGGGAGGGATCGCATCCTTCTAGTGGGCCACGCACATTTTACAGCAGAGGATCCCAAGCCTTTAGGCTGTGTAACCCAGCTCTCCCCTCCTACACACATGCAGATACCAAGAGATCCCTTGATCCCTAAGCACAGGTCTCTACAGGTAAAACCAGCATCCTGGGCACACTTTCTTCCCTGCAGGAAAATTTCTTTCTGTGCAAACCACAGGTACAGTCATCAGTTATATGGAGATGTGTCATTCAAGACACCAAAAGAATGTCTTGAGAGCAGAGCAGAGCAGAGTTCATTTGGTAGTACACGTCTCTCTACCAACCCTGTCCACAAAGCACATGGGCATGGTGACATTTGTGGGAAAAGGAGACCTCTGAGCACAACAGAGTTGCAGCACGTCCCCAGAATAAATCCGAGGGGCTGTCTCAAAACCTGGTGCTGTGACACTTGTCTCAATGGGAAAGCCCTTTGCGAGCACTTCCAGGGAATCTACTCCTGCAGCAGCAAACTTAAACTACAGAATCCCATTTCTACTTTGGGAATTAATTCCCACATCTAGCCTGTGTCTCTTAGTGGTCTCAGATATCCTCATGACCTAAAGAAATCTCTGACATCTTCTGTAATGTCCACATGATAATGATCACTGCATTATTTCCCTTAAGATTCTTCAAGCTCACCTGGATCTCTCTCTCTCTAGCATATCAAAACATATATTGCCTCCACTTCCTGCGTTGCCCATATCCCTCACACATCCACACTGCCGAGGACATTATTATCCTGTTAGCTGGCAAATTGTCCATGTGCCTTTTATTGATGTGTGTCTGAAGTAGCAACATTAATTCTTGTTCTCTCTTCCCACACCACAACACTCTTGAAATAAAGAAAGAGCATGCATCTAGTAGCACCCACTCTCCACTCCAGAGTGTAGTTAAGCTGTCATACCTAACCATACAGATATTTGTTCCTGTGCATGCCAGTGTTTTTATGGTCTGTGACTTGAAATCTCTGTTACAAAAAAACCCCTTTGTATAACTGAGCTATTGCAAGTATCATTCTCATATGAGAATATATATAGTTATATATATTTTTATAAATGTTATACAGATATGTGGGCCTAGATGAAAGTATAAAATAGTGTCTGTGCATTAAAATGATGATGGGATAATGATAATTGCAGACTTCATCTGCCAATTGCAGTCCTTAAATACAGACCTTAATGGTATAGATATTGGACTCCCTATATGATAGTGACTTTTGGTTGATGCAGTATATGTTCATTCTAGATGGTAATAGCACAGTGGACATTAGGGACCTATTTGTACAGTTAACTGAGGAATTGTTCTTGACCTGGTGTTATGAAGGTGTGTGCTAAGGGGGATTGCACAACTGTGATTCTAATCTCCGTGGCAGTCAGATAGGAATGTAGTGATAGTGCCTGATGCCTGTTTTGTGTAAAACTTCTATGCTGTTTTGCTTTAGTAGGGGCTTCATCTGTTCTCAGTCTTAAAGGCTGGATTGAGTGAAGATGGGACCCTTGAGTTTTATTTGGACTCCTCCATCTAAGGAGTTTTGTTCAGAACAAATCTTATATGGCTTCCTAGATTTTTCACTCCAGCCTTCCTGAAGTTATAGGGAGGATTCTTCAGACCTGTTTAGGGAAAAGTACTAGGTCTGAGCTCTAGAATACGGTTGGCTCTGACACCCTAGCATGAATGTAGAGCTTTGTATTCTCGCTGTATAGTGTATCTAGGTTTTTGCAGAATTAGTTTCTGCAAAGAAAGAGGTCCTAAAGGTAGGAGAAAGATGGTACTCTTGTATTAGCTTTACCTTGGAATTTGCATGTGACAGATTTTGAACTCAGAACTTGGATGGTTTTAATTAGTGATAGAAAGCTCGTAATCAGTCACATTTAGTTTATTCACCACACAAGGGCCTGTGCAGGATTGTGCCCTGAGCTTGCTCCAGGCCTTTTTCCATTCCAATTTTAAGCAAGCCACATGATTTCTTCATCTCCTGCAGGGATGTTTTACTATGATCTAGTTAGATGTCATAGTTTGCACATGTTTAGTGACGTGCAACTTTACATTTTCTTTCCCAAATATGAGTTTTCTGGTTATTTCTCCCTGGGGAAAAGTAATTGAAAGGGCCGTAACAGAGTCATGTAACATCTTTTAGTTTTATAGAGGACACACACAATGGTAATGATCAGATTATGATTTCCTAGGGTATGGAAAAAGCTAAAAAGTGATCTTAAAAGTCTAAGCTGATATCCAGTCACATCTCAATGTCATACATGTGCCTTGTGTAACATGGCATGATAGCAATTACACAATGAGCATTGCAGCTTGGCTTCTGCCTCTGGTAATAGCTACAAGTCAGGTCTTTGTATTGGTGGTACCCCATCATAGTTCTTAAAGAGCTGTCTAGCAACTCTCGTCATAGTGGGACTCAATTTCAGGCAATGTACAGAAGGTTTTCACTGAGATTGCTACATAGTTAAGGTTGCAAAATCCAGCGAGGAACTCGTAGATATTTGAGTACCAACTAAATGCGAAATATCAGCTTGATTGGTGTCAGTAACTGAATTAGCCAAGTTTAGGATTTAAGGCCTGCATAGATGTATGAATGCATTGCAAGGATACTTTCGACCACAGCTTAGACATCTCCTAACATTGGCTATTCTGATTAGTGTGGCAAGATTTCTTTTAATTCCCTGAATGGATTTAGATTAATAGAAAGCTCAAACCTATTAAGCTCAAGATTGCTCTCTGGGTTTTTTTTCAGTGTTGTCTCTGATTTCTCTCATGTATTTGCACAGAAGCCTGCAGCAAACATGTTTTGTGAAGTAATGAAAAACGGTGGGAAAATATTCCAAGAAATTAAAAACCAATAGTACTTTTGAAGTGTGGGAGAAGAGAAACTAGACATGCTCACACTAGGTATCAAGAAAAACTTTTTGACTGAGGAGTGTCAAGCATTGTAAGGGGTTTCCCATAGAGGTTGTGCAGTGTCCATTCTTTGAGGTTTTCAAGACTAGACTGGATAAAACCATGGACAACCTGGTCTAACCTCATAGCTGACTCTGCTTTGAACAGGAGTTTGCACCTCAGGAGGTGCCTTCCAACCCAATTATCCTGTGGTCCTATGCTTAGGATCTAAAGCCTGGCATAGTTGCCTTTCTGAGTCAGGTTGGACCCATTGCTTTAGTCTTGTTCTGCCAGAGGACCCCGGGTCTTCTACATTTTGTTAGTACACTCCTATACATTCCCCCAATCACCACTTTCCTTTAACTACTGAGAGTACTAAAATCCCTCACCATGATAATCCCGGTTGTCAGCTGAAGTCCTCCCTGTGTGTTTTTGCTCTGTCAGTTTTGTAAGAAACAGCCCAAGCCATAGCTAGGCTCATGCACCGAGTTATCGGTTCTTGACCATGCAGACTGGTAAAGGCAGTGGTTTTCATTTTTCAGTTTCTGGGTCAAATCTGATTGGCCAAAGCCAGCTACCTGGCTTGCTGGACTGCCCTCTACAAGGAATGGTCAGCGTACTGCAGAGGCAGCAGTACATACTTTCTACGTTGCTTTTGCACTGGATGTTCTATACTAGGTGTAAATGAGTGGCTCATAGCATCCACAGCAGGAGAAGTGGAGCCAAAGACCACCCACTTCTAATCCAGCCACTTTAGATTCAGCAGAGTGGGAGCAGGATAGGAGACTGACAGGAGAGGGGTAAAGCAGCTGGAGCAAGCAGTGAACATCCCCTGCATTTTTCTCCTTACTCATGCCCCCCACAGATCTGTAGGTGTGTAAAGTGAGATCTGGAATGCCAAGTGTAGTCTACACACTTGGAGTGTGAAAAACTGAGACATCCAGTCTGCATACATACATCATACATA